TTTATGATATTCGTAGCTTAAGTGTTTTAAGATTTCCATTTATCGATCTCTGTTCTTTGCATTAGTTGGCAATGTTTTTTTTGTTAACTCAATGACAATACTTTGGGGCCATGGGTGAAATCTGTCGACTACCAGAGATTTGTCGATTTTTCTTGAGACTTTCTTTGTTTCATTTTTAATTCTTCATAATTTTGCTGACCTGATGGATTGGCGTTTCTTTTCAAAATTTTAAGCCAAAGAGTATTCATGACTCGGTTTTTAATGTATCATTGTTTCCTTTTCAGTTCGTTGTATTATTGACTAGACTTGGGGGGCAGGGGTGAAATCCGTAGATCCCCATTAACTGGTCAATTTTCCTTATGGTTTTATATGTTTGATTTGAACATATCTACTATTTGTTTAATCATTTAGTTGATGCGTTTTACAAATTTTAAGCCACAATGATATACGTGGTCGAGATTTTTAACTTATCCTTATTTTTTTCGTGGTTCTTTGCATTATCTCGCACTAGGATATTCGTAGCTTAAGTGTTTTAAGATTTCCATTTATCGATCTTTGTTCATTATTTTATTTAGCAATAGTTTTGTTTTAACTCAATAATGATACTTCGGTGCCTGGGGTGAAATTCGTCGACCTCTAGAGATTTGCCGATTTTCCTGGCGACTTTCTGTATTTCATTTTAAATTACTCATAATTTTGCTGACTTTATGGATCGGTTTTTCTTTTAAAATTTTTATGCCAAAGAATATTCATGAGTAGGTTTTTTTGTATCAATGTTTCCTTCTCGGTTCTTTGTATTATCGACTCGACATTGGGGGCAGGGGTGAAATCTGTAGATCCCCATTAACTGGTCAATTTTCCTTCTGATTTTCTTTGTTTGATTTGAAATTATCCACAACTTGTTTAATCTTTTAGTTGATATTCTTTTTTAAAAATTTTAGGTCGAAAAGTAATTCGTGGTTGAGATTTTTACCGTATCGTTTTGTTTGTCATGGTTCTTTGCATTGTCTGGCTCTAGGATATTCGTGGCCAAGTGTTTTAAAATTTCCTTTTATCCATCTTTTTTCTTTGCATTATTTGGCAATATTTTGGTTTTAACTCAATGACAAGACTTTGGGGCCAGAGGTGATGAAATCCGTCGACCCCCAGAGAATTTTCGAATTTCCTATAAGCTTTTTTTTTCTTTCATTTTAAATTCCTCATAACTTTGCTGACTTTATGGATCAATGTTTCTTTTCCTAACTGGGTTTTTAATGTATCTTTGTTTCCGTCCCAGTTGTTTGTAATATTGACTCAACTTTGGTGGCCGAGGTGAATTCCGTAGATCCCCATTTGCTGGTCAATTTTCCTAATGATTTCGTTGTTTTATTTGGAACTATCCCCAGTTTGTTTAATCTTTTAGTTGATTAATCTTTTTGAAAATGTTAGGTCAAAAAGTAATTCGTGGTTGAGATTTTTTGCATATCTTTTTGCTGGTCGTGGTTCTTTGCATTGTTTGGGTCTAGGATATTCGTGGCTTAGTGTTTTAAAATTTCCATTTATCCGTCTTTGTTATTTGCATTATTTGGCAATATTTGGTTTTAACTCAATGACAAGACTTTGGGGCCAGGGGTGAAATCTGTCGACCCCCAAGGATTTGTCGAATTGCCTATAGTCTTTTTTTAGTTCATTTTAAATTCCTCATAATTTTGTTGACTTTATGGATCGGTATTTCTTTTCAAAATTTTAAGCCAAAGAGTATTCATGACTCGGTTTTTAATGTATCATTATTTCCTTTTTAGTTCTTTGTATTATTGACTCGACTTGGGGGGCAGGGGTGAAATCCATAGATCCCCATTAACTGGTCAATTTTCCTACTGATTTTCTATCTTTGATTTGAACTTATCCACTATTTTTTAATTTTTTAGCTGATACTTTTTAAATATTTTAAGCCACAATGATATTCGTGGTCGAGATTTTTAACTTACCCTTTTTTTTGTCGTGGTTCTTTGCATTGTCTCGCACTAGGATATTCGTAGCTTAAGTGTTCTAAGATCTCCATTTATTGATCTCTGTTCATTATTTTATTTAGCAATAGTTTTGTTTTAACTCAATGACGAGCCTGGGGTGAAATTCGTCGAGCTCCAGAGATTTGTCGATTTTTCAGGCGACTTTCTTTATTTCATTTTAAATTACTCATAATTTTGCTGACTTTATGGATCGGTGTTTCTTTTAAAATTTTTGAGCCAAAGAGTATTCATTACTAGGTTTTTATTGTATCATTGTTTCCTTCTCGGTTCTTTGTATTATTGACTCGACTTTGGGGGCAGGGGTGAAATCCGTAGATCCCCATTAACTGGTCAACTTTCCTTCTAATTTTCTTTGTTTGATTTGAAATTATCCACAATTTGTTTAATCTTTTAGTTGATATTCATTTTTAAAAATTTTAGGTCAAAAAGTAATTCGTGGTCGAGATTTTTAACGTACCATTTTGTTGGTCACGGTTCTTTGCATTATCTGGCTCTAGGATATTTGTGGCTAAGTGTTTTAAAATTTCCTTTTATCCATCCTTTTTCTTTGCATTATTTGGTTTGTGATTACTGCATGTTGGATGCTGTGTAATGTTATTGTTGTTGTTGTAATAAGATTTAGAATGAGATTCAGAATTCTAAAAATCCTATATCTCATTTAATGTAAATTTTGTTTGGGAGTTTACTGTAGATTTCACTACAACCCCCAATTGTGTGGTTCTAATGCTTGTGATTGGATCATATCAAATATTGTGACCTGAGGCTTGGATTTGGTCCTTTGGTAATTATCATTTTTTCCCACTCTATCATTTGCAAGCAAAATGATTCCCTCTTAAAGTTTATAATAGAAAAAAAATAAAAAACTCATCCCATTGCTAATTGTTATGCTCTAGGACCGACTATGTGGATTAAATTTGGTTAGGAATTTATAATTGAACCAGATCTGTGAATTTAGGATGACATTTGATATTGGTCTAGAATATAATTTGAAAAGTAAAATTTGTAGCGGTGGTGTTTGTATTGCTTTTCATGCATCATTTTTGTTAATGGTTAACAATTGTGAAAAACTTCTTGGGCAATGATTCTGAAACCATAGAAAGTTTTTGATGAATGTTTTACAATGTTTAAAAACTTGGACTGGTGGTTTGACTCGTACCTGTGGGTGACTGACGGAGGTAAAATCGAAGCCAAATACACATCAAGAGCAGCTGAATTATACCGGCAATTATTTTCAAAGGAAGTTGCCAAAAGCTTGACAGATGATCTCTCTTCTCCTAGATCACCCCTTGCTTCTCAGGCAAATCAGACAGTAAATGGTCTATCTCATGTGAATTTACTGAAACGTTTTAAGAAAATGAGGTTGCTGATAAACATGAGGCACCTAAAGTTACTACCTCACCAAATGCTCCTTCCCATCCAGTTACCGGTACCATAAAAATGCCCATTGGTGCAAGAAAGGGAAGTATGACGGGAGGTCTTGGTGCCCAGAAGCTTACTACAAAGGTCGAATTGTTCTTTAGCCTACAGTAATGCAAAATGTTTCCATTCCTAAAGATGACTATTTAACTTTAATACTGACTCTTGTCTTGATTCATTGCGTATTTGTAGATAATGAATCTATAGGAGAAAGCTAGAATCTTGAAAGCTGTGATGTTATGAACATTTTTTTGTCTAGTGCCTATTCAATTTGATGCAGCCAAGTGAAAGTCTTTATGATCAGAAGCCAGAAGAACCGGCTCTTGTTGTTGGTTCATCCACTATTTGCCAGCGCAACACCGTTTTTTGGCCCATTGTTTCCTTCACGCTTTGAATATGCTGGGAGCATGCAATCTGCGGAGGCCAATTCTGGTGGTACGCAATTACTTAACCATGTTTCTTCGCTTAAATAAAGCAGCGTATTTACTGATTTTGGAATGGACAGTGGAATCAAGAAAAAGCCAAGTTCCACTTACCCCACAGTTCAGGTAATTCTTTATTGGCTATTCAGGTTTTGTAGATTATGGGGTTCTTCATACTTTTACTGTGCATATTTGCAACTTGGTTACCGGGATGGTACATGTCTATATATAGGTTGTTGAAAAATCTTGGTTTTCTTTCGTCCTCTATCCCTCCCTCCCTCGCTACACACACATACACACACATATGTCATTCTACAAGCTCTCTCTCTCTTTCTCTCTCACTCTCTCTCTCTGCACACACAATTGTCAGTGCACACGCTTTGTCTTTCACTCTCCCTTCTAATCACTAAATTTCTCTATAAGTTGAAGTTAGTTTTGTCTTTCATCTTGTGTTTAGTAATTGGTCCAATGTTTTGTGTAGAGCTCGACATCCATATCTAGTGCTGATCTTTTTGGGCATAACATGGATGATCCTATCCTTGATATGTCTGCTTGTGATCTCATCAATCGGATTTCATTCCATGTACTACTTCATTAGCCAAACTCATCTTGATCGATACCTTACTCGTCAGAAAGCTAGAATATTTGAGAAAGCTAATGAAACATAGTTCACATGGAACGATTTTTTACTTCTTTTCCTTGTTTTTTGATTCCTTTGCTGAGCACAAGAGAAAGCATTATTTGCTAGAGTTATTATTAGCCTGTTTCTATGTTTTACTGCCTTTTATATTGTAGATCTTTCAGCATTTTCAGAAAATTCCACAGCCACCAACTTCTAGATGGTTATTTTGTATATGAAGTTTAATTGCAGAAACAATCGGGTGGCTTTTTCCCTCAGCCATCATCATTGAACCTTTTCCCGAGTACTTGGGGTTGGCTAGCTTCTTCACTCAATGAATGTTAATTTCTATTTTTTCAACATGCTTACTGCAATCTTTGAGTTATCTGGCCCCCCCAAAAACAAAGATTAGATGCTATTGTAAATAAATCTAAAGGATGGTAATTTGGAAACTACTGTTGTGTTGTAATTACTTCTGAATTATGAATATTTATCTTTCCTTAAGTATTCGTGCTGTCAATCTACATATTATTCTCCATCTATTTAGCATTAGCATGGCTTGATATGCTCCTCGTTGTGAATTTGGTTTTGCTCAAAGGAATAATTGTAAAGCTCTGCAATGCACAAAGGCAAAGCTTCGAACTCCCCCCTTAGGGGGCAGCAAAGCACTCTTTTTGTTTGAGAGTGCTTCGCAAGAGAAAAAAGCCTTGTATGCGTGTTTGTAAAGTATATATATTGTTTTCTAATGCCATGTCAATGAAGCCCAACTAAAGTTTTCTAATGCAAAATCTATTTCATCAGCTTAGTTCTTGGGGGATCAAAACAATGCCAGTGATGCTTCTGCACAAATCTCCCAGTGATGCTTCTACCCAAATCTCCTAGTAAAAGTTCTCAATGTCCTTTCTCTTTCTCGACCCCTTTTCTCTCTGTGTTTCTGTGTGTTTGTGCATGTTCGTACATATCTCACACACTCATGCATACACCCATATCTACATTCTACACATTCATATAGACGTATTAAATGGCGTACACCATTTAGTGAAAACTGTCCGAGCATGGTCTACTCCACTATTCAAGTGTGACAGACTTTTGTAACTCCCCTGATCAACTAAGACTTGTCTATGACCCTTCCAAAAAAAAACAGTTTTTTCTTGATCTTAAAGAAAACTCTCCATTTGGAATTGGCCTTTGTGGGTTTTTTTTTTGGCTAAATGATATTCTATTCCCATGGGAGTAGAATGTTTATTAACTTCCTCAGGTACAACCCCACCTAGAATTAGTTTTAGGCCCGCAAATTTTGGGTATGTAACCCCTTCAATCCATAGACTAAAAAAAGTCTTTATTACACCCAACTAAAGCTGGACGGCAAATTTCAATTTTTTTTTTCTAGAGGAATCATGTATTAATTCTTAAGTGTTTCCCAAATTTTAGATTTTGTTCGACATTATTTCAATGGACACAATGACCTCAAAAAATATGCCCATATGAATACTCTGCTTGTTTTTCTCTTTTTTAGGCAGCATTCAAATGTTTCTATTAGTGGCAATACAATATATTGTGGTTTTTTTCCTCTCCAATTGGAGCTCTAACAAATTTGTCTGTAGTAGGAACAGATATTAAGCATTTTTTCCCTTGGATGACTTTGTCACTGCACTTTTTGTTACAATAATCCTTGGCATGTTTCTAGACAATTGTTTTCGATGTTTATATTCATGACTGCAGGTTGAGGAAACAAAGGAAGCCCAACAAAAGTTTTCGAATGCAAAATGTATTTCATCAGCACAGTTCTTTTTTTTTCTTCTGTTAATGTTAATTTTGGTTGCATGTTTTACTCGGAGGCTCGATTGGAGCAGGATTACTATGTTAAAGGATCACAAAAAAAATATCTCATTTTATTGTGGCATTTGCATTTTTAAGGGTTCCTTTTGATATTCAACTTGTTTTGTTATTCTTTTCCTATAATTTTGGTATTTGATTAGTGCAGGTTGGATGCAGTGTAATGTTATTGTTGTTGTTGTAATAAGATTTAGAATGAGATTCAGGATTCTGAAAAACCTATGCGTCGCCTTTCATGTAAATTTTGATTGGGAGTTTACTGAAAATTTCACTACAACCCCCAATTGGGTGGTTCTAATGCTTGTGATTTTGTCTTATAAAATATTGTGATGTTTTCCTGAGGCTTGGATTTGGTCTTTGGTTATTGTCATTTTTTTCCACTCTGTAATTTGTAAGCAAAATGGTCCCCTCTTACAGCTTATTTTAGATAAAAAACAAAAAGAACTCGTCCCATTGCTAATTGTTATGCTCTAGGGCAGACTAGGTGGATTAAATTTAACCAGATCTTTTGAGTTTAAAATGACATTTGATATTGGTCTAGAATATAATTTGAAAATTCAAATTTGTAGCCGTGGTGTTTGTATTGCTTTTCAGGCATCATTTTCATTAATGGTGACATTATCTATTGTGAAAACGTTTTTGGGCAGAGATTCTGAAACCTTAGAAAGTTTTTGATGAATGTTTTACAATGTTTAAAAACTTGGAGTGGTGGTTTGACTCGTACCTGTGGGTGACTGACGGAGGTAACATCGAAGCAAGATAAACATCTAGAGCTGCTGAATTATACCAGCAATTATGTTCAAAGGAAGTTGCCAAAAGCTTGACAGAGGACCCATCTTCTGCTAGATCACCGCTTACTTCTCCGGAAAATCAGACAGTATATGGTCTATCTCATGTGAAGTTTACTGGTACATCCAAAAGAAAATAGGTTGCTGATAAACATGAGGCATCTGAAGTTACTGCCTCACCAAAAGTTCCTTCCCATCCAGTGACCAGTACCATAAAAAAGGCCATTGGTGCAAGAAAGGGAAGTAAGACGGGATTGGTGCCCAGAAGCTTACTACAAAGGTCGAATCGTTCTTAGCCAACAGTAATGCAAAATTTTTCCATTTCTAAAGATGACCGTTTAGCTTTAATCCTGACTCATTTCTTGATTCATTGGTGGCATTATTTGTAGTTAATGAATCAACTGGATAAAGTTGGAATTTTTAAAGCTATGATGTTATGAATTGATTTATTGTCTGATGCCTATTCAATTAGATGCAGCCAAGTGAAAGTCTTTATTATCAGGAGTCAGAAGAAGTGGCTCTTGTTGTGAGCATGCAGAACTGGATCATCCACTAATGCCAGCGCAACACTGTCTATTGGCTCATCGTTTCCTTCACGCTTTGAATATGTTGAGAGCATGCTGTCTTCAGAGCCCAATTCTGGTGGTACACAATTACTTAACCATGTTTCTCCACTTAAATCAAGCAGCTTCTATGCTGTTCTGGAATGGACAGTGGAATCAAGGAAATGGCAAGTACCACTTACTCCAAAGTTCAGGTAATTCTTTATTGGCTATTCAGGTTTGGTAGATTATGGGGTTCTTCAAACGTTTACTATGCATTTTTTCAACTTGGTTACAGGGATGGTACATGTCTACATAGTGGTTGTTGAGAAGTCTTGGTTCTCTCTCTCCCTCTGTCCCTCCCTCCGACAAATGTCATTCCACAGGCTTTTGACCTTTGACACAGACAAATGTCATTCCACAAGCTCTCTCTCTCGCTCTCTCCACACACACATATGTCAGTGCACTCATTCTATCTTTCACTCTCTCTCACTCTCACTCTGTCTCTCTCTACACTCACACGTTAGATAAATATAAAGATTAGAGCACGTGTCAGTCCACAAGCAACAAAAATTTGATTAATATACACTGTTATTGCTGGCAAATTAGGAGTATGAACTCGGTGAGGGGTTTGATCACAAATGGGATCACTGAGGCATACGTACTCTTGTGGACTTTAGGTGTCAAATTTGTCCTAAGTATAAACTTGGTGATAAGAAGGTGCACTAAGAGAACCGCAATTGCATGAGGACTGACTTCTCTTATCGGAGGTCTTTACTCAAGGTTTCTGTGCCATTTGGGATTCATTTAGGGATCAGTTGAGAGGCAGACTGTTTGTCCTATAGCAGTGACTAATGTTTGAGAGTGACATGTGGGCACCAATGTGTTTTTGGGAACCTGAGTTAGAGCATTCACAATATCAGTGCCACAAAGAGGCACTTTTGCTCCCACATGTTGTCCACTAAATGCATGATCCATGTTGGGCTCTTGTTATACTGTATTGGGTTTTGGATATGTGTTGATACCATCATTTAGGTACCTGCAAAAGTGGCAGGATGTTACAATTGCTGGTGCTGGTGCAATTTCTGGGTTTGTGCTGGTACACCCAGTTTTGCTTGGCCACGGGTGTGCTTTCAGCCTTTGTCTACAATCGATATAATATTTTTGAAAGCATTTGGTGGATTCATTGGTAATGGCAGGTCCAAATATTGATAGGTATAGCTTTCATTTCATATAGCTTTCATTTCATCTCTTTCATTAAGCATCTAGAGCCTTTATCTTGCAGGATGATTCCATGACATGGGTTACAAGTTGACAGAAGTGCAAGTTATTTCTGAAAGAACTCCTCCTGAATCTAAAGAATAGTTCTCCCAATGGAGTGAATTGATGAGGTTAGGAAGTTAACCTCCCTAATCTATAGTCTTAGAAGCGGTCGTTATACAAACATATACTAGTTCTCCATTCCAAATACATGGCTTAAGTTGGGCTTGTCACACCTGATGCTCATCATATTGCAGAATAGCTATCGTACTGTTGCCTTTGGAAACACCGCTTAGCCCTGCTTGTGCTTGCTTAGAAGCTATTATTAGGTCCATTGTTATTCGATTTCCGTTTTGCCACACAGATTCAGTTTTAGGTTCCCCAACGACAAAGATCACCATGTCTTTTACATTCAATGGGAGTTGAATATCCTTAACTTTTGAGGATTGGAAATTATCTCTCTTTAGACAGATGTCCTTCCTTATCCTCTATTATATAACGGCATGGTTTTTCTTTTAGTGCTTCCTTCATATTTAGTACAATTTTAAGTGTTATTTCTCTGTAACATGCAGCTAATTTCTTATTATTAAGGTGCTTGTTAACCATCCTTTTTTGGAATAGTCTGCAAAGGAAGTCCCAACCCACTTTAGCCAATTTAAATGATTCATGTGTTCTTTATCCTGGTTTACTGTAGTAGTTAATGGAGTTTAGTCTAAATTTTTTTTTCAAATGTCCTGTCCTTCATAACCAACCCTAGAAAAAGCTATCTTTGAACGTAACCAAAAGATCCTGCACCTTAGGAACTATGAAGTTTATACCCCTTTCCCATGTTTAAATATAAGGTTCATAACTTAGGAGCGCTTACCTGTTTTTTATCTTCTTTACTTCTGTAGAATTGACATGTGGGGGCGTACCTGAACTCGGGTGTTGCTCAATTAAATTATGTATAGCTTTTCAAGTTTTGAAAAAGTGACTGTAGCCTGTATTTTATTTTAGCCGTAATATATTGTTGTTTTGTCCTCTTCAATTGGAGCTCTAACAATTTTGCCTGCAGTTAGAACAGATATTAAGCATTTCTTCCCTTGGATGACTCTGTCGGTGCCGTTTTTGTTACAATAATCCTTACAATGTGTCTAGGCTGTTGTTTCCATCTTTTGATGTTTACATTCATGACTGCAGGTTGAGGAAACCAACGAGCCCCAACTATAGTTTTCTAATGCAAAATCTATTTGATCAACTCAGTGCTTTGGGGATCAAAACAAAGCCAGTGATGCTTCTTCCCAAATCTCCTTGCAAAAGTTCTCAGTATGCTCTTTCTCTCTTCCTCGTCCCCTCTATGTGTGTCTGTGTGTGTGTAGTACATATCATACACTCACTCACATGCGTACACCCATATCTACCTGTTCATATAGACGTATTAAATAAACTTTTTTTGCATACCCATATAGTGAAAACTGACCCAAGTGTGACAGACTTTTGTAACTCCACTGATCAACTACGAGTTGTCCATGGCCCTTCCAAAAAAAAAAAAATGTTTTTTCTTGATTCTAAGCAACTCCCCTCCTTGTTGGAATTGGCTGTTGTGGGTTTTTTTTTTGCTAAAAGATATTATATTCCCGTGGGAGTAGAATGTCTATTAGCTCCCTCAGGTACAACCCCACCTAGAATTAGTTTGAGTATCCCAAAATTTGTGGATGTAACCCCTTCAATCCATAGATTAAAAAAAATCCATATCATACCCACTTATGAAAAAACAATGTCTAGAGATTGCATAGAGACTATCCAATTTTTAGATGGTTAGGTCAGAGTGTTAGAAAACTCAAATTTGATTTTTTTTTTTTTTTTTTTTTGAGGATAATCGTCTTGTGTCTCTTTAGTGGTTCCCAAAATTTCAGATTGAGAAACCTCTCAAGTAGATCTTCTACCGAGGGAGTAGAAGTCAACTACGCTCCCGAGGGAGGATAGTATATATCCTCTTTTTTTTTTTTCCCCCCTTTTTGTTTCAGATTTGGTTTGCCTCAATGGGCACAATAACCTGACAAAATATGCCCATATGAAAGCTTGGGCTAGTTTTTTTTCTTTTTTAGGCAGCATTCAAATCTTGCATCTTGGAGATAGCATCAGGTTATAATTTTCTTTTCTCCCTTCTAATCACTAAGTTTCTCTATAAGTTGAAGTTGTTTTTGTTTTTCGTGTTGTGTTTAGTAATTTGTCCAATGTATTGTGTTTAGTTTTCTTTTTCATCTTGTGTTTAGTAATTGGTCCAATGCTTTGTGTAGAGCTCGACATCCATATCTATTGCTGATCTTTTTGGACATAACACGGATGATCCTAGCCTTGATTTGTCTGCAACTGATCTCAACAATCGGATTTCGTTCTAGGTACTTCTTCATTAGCCAAACTCATCCCGATAGATACCTTACTCGTCATAAAGCTAGAAATTTTGAGAAAGCTAATGATTCATACTTCACATAGAATAATTTTTTACTTCTTTTCTTTGTTTTTTGATTCCTTTGGTGAACACTAGAGATAGCTTTATTTTCAGGAGTTATTATTTTTTATAGGGCCGGTTTCTATGTTTTACTGTCTCGTATATTGTAGATCTTTCCACATTTTAAGAAAATTCCACAGCCACCAACTTCTAGATGGTCATTTTGTATATGAAGTTTAACTGCTGAAACAATCGGGTGGCTTCTTCCCTCAGCCATCATCATTGAACCTTATCCCGACTATTTGGGATCGATTAGCTTTTTCTCTCAATGATAGTTAATGTGCAACATACTCACTGCAAACTTTGAATTGTCTGGCCCCCCAAAAACCAAAGATTAAATGCTATTGTAAATAAATCTCAAGGCCTCTATGGTATTCTGGAAACTACTGTTGTGTTATAAATACTTCTAAATCATGAATTTTTGTCTTTCCTTAAGTATTCATGCTGTCAATCCTCCATAGTATTGTCCATCTAGTTAGCGTTCAAAAGGTTTGATATGCTCCTCGTTATGAATTTATTGTTGCTCCATGGAATAATTGTAAAGCTCTGCTATGCACAAAGGCATTGCTTTGAACTCCCTCCTTAGGGGTGGCAAAGCGTTCTTGTAGTTTGAGAGTGCATCGCAAGAGAAAAAAAGCCTTATATGCGTGTTTGTGTGTCTGTAATGTATGTAATGTTTGCATGTGTGTATGTATGGATGTATGTATGTATATGTCTTGTGGCATGCTCAACTGAGTCTTTGCCCTCATCATGGAAGGTCATTTTAAGGAGTGCATTATTGGTCTACTTTCAACGTTTAAAGTTTCTTATGTAATATGGACTTTTTTAAGATGCTGAATATTGTAATTGTGTTTTCTATGTTATGCCTGATTTGTACAATTTAAATGATTATGTTCTGCTCATGATGTAGAACATCAAAGAATGAGAAATTTACAACCTCCCTCCACTGGATTTCAAGAAGCACCTCCCAATTACAACTCCTGCATGCAATGCTTGAACTCCCCTTCCACACCTCAAAACAACCATTTCTACGATTACATTCTGTTCTCCTTATTTTTTCTTCTAAGTTAACATTCTGAACGTTATTCTACCTAATAAGTCCTAAGGCCCCAATGCCTTGAAACACACTCTCTCATTCTCTAACGTACTGTTTGTTTGCGTATAAGCCTCCTTGCTGTCTCAATCTGTCTCACTGTTTCTCTCTCTAAACACTTGCTCTCATTCTCTCATATGGACTCCCTCTTTCTCTACCCCTTATTCCTCTCCCTCACTCTCCAACACACCTGCCTCTACCCTCACTGTAATAATTTGTGGTTTTTTGGGAGATGGGTTCTGTTCTAAGAAAAAGAAGAATTTGGGTTTTTTGGGAGATGGCTGCTTCTATTCTGATAAGAAGAAGAAGAATCTGGGTTTTTTGGGGATGTGGGTTCTTTTGATTTAAGAAGAACACAATGATCATGAACACGGCAATTGAAAGTGGAAAAAATGATTGTTTGAGGAGATAGGCTTGTCAGTTAATAGAACTTGGATCGATTTCGGAAGGTGGACGCTAAGAAGGGATTTGACTGTGGATTAGAGTTGAAAAGATGATGGTATAGTTTGAACTCGAAGAAAGGGAAAGTTGCAGGGAGCTTTTGCATAAATGACTCTTTTGTTGGGAAAGGTTTAGGGAGTTCTTGCACTAATGCTCTTTTGCAGGCTTCCCATCTCATGCTTTAACCCAACATCTGTTTATTGAATTTAATAACCAAAATGCAATCTAATCCCATTCATCTACCCATATCGTTCTCTCTCATCCATTGAGTACTTGCAGTCATGCACACGAG